TCATGGCTAATTACAGATTTTAAAAAGACTCAGTTTCACATAATGGTCATTTTTAGTAACAAAGAGATAAAGAAAAATAAAGGGATTCTACAAACTTGATAAAATTGATAATGCATACCCCAAAATTATCTGCTATATTTCTTTTATGGATATACATTTTTTACATATTTAGCACTGCGTCTACAAAGTCTCACTGCAAAGATTGGACTCATAGTGATCCTCCTGTTTTCAGTCTCCCAAGCACTAGTTTTACAGGCATGTGCCACCATGCCCAGTCTCACTTACCATCTCAGCCTGCCCCAGTGGGTGGGACCAGCACAGGACACCGGGGATCTACCCCCAGTTTCTGTGACTGTCTAAGCAGGTGCTTTAATCTGCTGAGCTATCTGGCCTGCCCATTTATGGACATTTTTAGCATCAGGGAAATCTGATTTATGGAAATCAAACTTTTCCAAAAGAGGTTGAGTTAGAAGGTGGTAGTTACATTTGAGATTATATTTTGCTCGTAAAAAGTTCACTAAAGAATGTATTTAAATAAAGAGTCTCTTTTGCACACTTACATATTTGGTCACAGATTGCTAAGGGAAGTAAAATTAGGGAAATCAGTTTCAGATATTGCATACCCAGTGAACATCAGCACCTACAAAATACTATCAAGAATTTGATTCGGATGGCTACTTACAACAACTTTGAAGTGATATGACCTTGGCTGAAATGCTTTGGTTTTCACTTCCATTTCTTACTACCAGAGTTCTTCGGACTAACTGATAAAAAAAAAAAAAAAAATGGTACCTTGATGTGATGTCATGAATTAAAGGTGTTGCCATGTCACTGGGGATGTCCTCCTCAGTGGTGATTTGGGTCCCATTACTCTTTACACATGCATATTTTGTGCAAACTTCAACCTGCAAACATGAGCATAGACAAGAATGAACCCAACTGTTTTGAAAATTCAGACCGATGAAAGACTGATTCCACCTGTCTCTTCCAGTTCTCCACTGCCTCCTAGGGGTTAGTAGATATTCATTTTTGATGTTAATTGACTCCAGTGGGACAGGCCCAGAGTAGATTGCAGCACCGGGCTCAGGACAATTGATTTAGTGATTAGAATGGTGATTTTTAGTCCCTGGTTCCAACCATTCAGAAAGAGAAGGCTTATTAATCTACTCAGAGTGCTGTCGAGAAGTGGCAGACACTCAGGTGACAGTTTGCAAGCATAATAGGACATCTCTGCACAGTGCTCTCTAGATCTGTAACCAAGTAGTGTGACGATATCTTCGGGAAGTCTTGACATTTTACAACAAATCGCCTACATGCTAATGTGTAATGGAAGAAAAATGAAGCTTAGAAAGCCACCCAAGATGGCCGAGCAATTTTATATCCATTTGTTCCAGCTGCAATGGTACTTTTACCTTAATCACAGCAGAAAATCATCATTCACCCCTTTAATTCTGCCACCTAATCTGAATGAGAGTGAAGGAGTGTGGGATAACTAAGATTAGGAATGGGCTTCCTCCAGCACTAGTAACACGGAAGGAACACATCCTCCAAGACCAGGAGAGAGAAGTAAGTGTGTGAAAGCCTGCAGGTGGAGATGGACCAAGCAGTAGCACCCTGCTCGGGTTGAGGGGATCACCCAAAGTGGAACTGGACTTACTCTGTGTCCAATTTTTGGCACCACACACATAAAAAGAGGAGGGAAGCCAGGAACTGATGACTCTTAAGCACCCATTCTGTGCTTTTAATGAAGTCATTCTCTGATTTTTCTTTTGGCATTAGGAGAAGGGCAACTGTGACACATGCTGTATTTAGCAGATAAGTCATTTTATTCTGAAGGCAGTTTGCATCTAAATGCTAGTCGAAACTTACGCTTACCGTGCTGTATACGTTGTGTTATTTATTGATGCAGTGTACCCTTTTGCTGCTATTTAGTAATTTTAAACACTCTCAAGGCCCTACACATGAAGAACAATTAAACCAAAAAGTATCTTTGGTGATTAACTTGTAATACAATGCCATAGTAGAATAATGACAAACTTTTCACATAGTAGAAAATATCTGATTCTATGATGCATAGTGAGATAAACTGGAATCGACCCAACTGAATTTTCCATGCATAGATACGTATCGAATATAATAATTAGTACTTGAAGAAATAATCCTGTAAGTCCATACCGTTCAGCAATTGCACACACCTATGGGGATCAGCGAACAAGCTGAGATCATGAGAGTCTCCATCTCCTCCGCATTTCTGCACTTTCGCTATCTTTGAGTTTCTGTCATCCAGAATCTTAGCTCACTGGACAGGCCGCTACGAAGCGCTATCATCCCA